AGTGGTTCTGCCTCCAGGCGGCCCACTCCACCTCTGGATGGCGCTAGGGCTCACTCCTTGGCTTCACATATTGATAAGTTTATTCCCTTCCTGCTTCATCAACAGGCAGGTCCTTTCATTCCAGTAGGGTGGTTCCTCCCTGGGGGACCCCAGCGTGCTTTTAGCCTCATTTACCTTATCTTCCCCCTAGCAGCGACCATCATCCAGATGATTTCCTACTCTGAGCAGCAGGGACAGGGGTGCTACCACTACTGCCAGGACCCATTTTTCTCCTTGCCCTTACTTTAGGGGCTGCTGTGTGCCAGGAAGCTGACACTGTGCAGCTCACAGCCACCTCTAGCAGCCACAGTAGCCCTCCATTTCTTTAAGTGAGGACACTGGGTTAGTTAGCTAGGATGCCACACCTCTGTCCCTGAGGCTACGGAAGTTCTACAGCTTTCTGCTGTCTTGGTGGAGGAAGCACACCTCTCACTGTGCTTGAGGAATCACTGGGCAGTTGATCAGCAAGGGTAGAATTCTTGAAATCCAGTTTTGGTCTAAAAACATGTATTCAGGTATGGTGCACAACTATAATCCCAGCATTTCAGAGGCTGAGGCAGGAGGATTGAGAGTTCAAGGCTAGCCTGGACTACCCAGTGAGACCCTGCCTCAGAACAAATTCATGAAAAGATTCTCCAGAATCTATTGGCCTGTGTTAAATTCCTTGCCAGCCTGAGTTTCCCTTGCACTTCAGTGAAGTGGGTTCTGTGGGGAAATAAACCATATTCATCCCGTGGCTCTAGAGCCTAAACTTAGTGTCACAGCCCAGAGCCACTGGGCTCACCTTCAGAGCTAATGGTAGGGTGGGGAACAGGTGGCATGTGAACCTTTGGATTAGAGCTTAGGCTGGTGCCCAAAGCACCCTCTACTTACCCTCCTCAGGACATTCACCATGGCAACGGCACCCAGCAAGCATTCTACGACGACCCCTCTGTGCTCTACATCTCCCTGCATCGATATGACAATGGGAACTTCTTTCCGGGCTCTGGGGCTCCTGAAGAGGTACAACCCCTGGGCCTTCACGTGAGCCCTTCTGGGAGGGAGCATGCTAGGACTGGGCAGGGAGCCACAGAAGTCCATTCATGGTGATGGCCCCTGTGGCATTCTTGGGCTCCTAGTGGGAGGATCACATGGGTCTGACTGCCAGTCAGGCAAGACAGGGGTCAATGGAGTGAGACCTTGGAGGCAAGGGGTGGGCAGTGTTTGGGACCCAGGGCAGTGATAGTAACCTCTCCTACCTTATGCCAGGTTGGTGGAGGGCCAGGCGTGGGGTACAATGTTAATGTGGCATGGACAGGAGGTGTGGATCCCCCCATTGGAGACGTGGAATACCTGACAGCCTTCAGGTGGGGACTGAGAAGAGAAAAAGGAGGGGTGGGACCCTGAGCTGGCAGGGGCAGCAGGCACTCAGTTGGGGTGGTGGAGGGGTATGGCTTCAATGGGAAACAGCGTGGCAGGGCTCAGCCTGGCATCTGCTGGCATCAGCTTGGGCCATCCCTTTACAGGACGGTGGTGATGCCCATTGCCCACGAGTTCTCACCTGACGTCGTCCTAGTCTCCGCTGGTTTTGATGCTGTTGAAGGACATCTGTCTCCACTGGGTGGCTATTCTGTCACCGCCAGATGTGAGCCTACTAGGGGTCTGGGAGGGTGTGGAACATGGAGGCACATGGGACAGGGAATAAGTTGACATTGCAGGGAGCAAGTCCTAAGACTTGTTAGCTCTACCTACTCTACTGCCAACCCTGCCGTGGGGGCCAGCAGGTAGAAGTGGGTAGCAAACAAAGTATCTTCCACTGGAGCTCACAGGTCTTGACAGGAAATGCATCACATCTTACTTAGCCCGTGCTCCATTAAGTTCACTGACATTTCATTTCATCGTAGATGTATTGGGGCTTAAGTCTGCTGTCCTACCCTTTGTCATCATCATCTTCTTCTTCTCCTTCTCCTCTTTTCTTTGATACAATTTATCATTTATCCTTATCTCTTTACTCCCATGCAAAGGTTTTGGCCACTTGACCAGGCAGCTCATGACACTGGCAGGGGGCCGGGTGGTGCTGGCCCTGGAGGGAGGCCATGACTTGACCGCCATCTGTGATGCCTCTGAGGCCTGTGTCTCGGCTCTGCTCAGTGTAGAGGTGAGTGGGTAACACGGTTGGGGGACAAAGGTGGGGGCTAATGGGTCAGCAGGGATATCCACTTCCCTGGCTCGAGCGATCTTAAGGGCTCCTTGAGGTTTGCCTAGGTCTGAGAATAGTTGGCCAAGGAAGGCTTTTTGATTAGCGCTTCCTCCCAAAAGCCTGTGCTTGCCAGTGCAGGACTGTCTGGGCTGAATGGGGATAGTTGGAGAGCTAGAAATTGCCCCTCACCCCATTCTAAGCCTGCTCTTCTTTTCTCTGTAGCTGCAGCCGTTGGATGAAGCAGTCTTGCAGCAAAAACCCAGCATCAATGCAGTTGCCACCCTAGAGAAAGTCATCGAGATCCAGAGTGCGTGGGGACAGGCAGAGGGGCTCATACCTCAACCTGCCAGGCAGGCGGGGCACATGGGGAGTGGGGTAGCAGGGCTAACAGGTACCTCTAGACCAGTGTGCTCTCCCTGAACCTGTTTGTCCCTCTTCACAGGCAAACACTGGAGCTGTGTACAGAGGTTTGCCACTGGTCTGGGCTGCTCTCTGCGGGAGGCTCAGACAGGTGAGACGGAGGAGGCAGAGACTGTGAGCGCCATGGCCCTGCTTTCTGTGGGCGCTGAGCAGGCCCAGGCTGTTGCCACTCAAGAGCACAGCCCCAGGTAAGCACCTCACCTCCCAGCTCCCTGCCCTGGCCTAAGGTAGTGAGTGCTCTCTACTCAGTCCCTCCCTGTGCTTGTCCCCACAGGCCAGCAGAGGAGCCCATGGAGCAGGAGCCTACCCTGTGACACCCTGGCCCCCATTCCTCTGGGCTTCATCATTGTGATTTTGTTTATTTTTTCTATTAAAAACAAAAAGTCACACATTCAACAGCGTGTGCCGTGTGGGTCTCTCAGCCTTGCCCTTCCAAGCTGCTTCAGCCCTCCTACCCCACCACATGGTCTGCGTCCCAGCTTTAGAAGTCCATTCCTTCTGTGGGGGTTGAGTGCAGCATTCACTTCTGTTGTTGTCTCACACCCAATTCTCTGTACTCTTTTCTGCCTTGGACAGTACCTCCAATTCTGGAGCTACCCATGATGGGAACAGTAAGTTGGTGCCTTGGCTTGGGCTGTCTTTCCGGGAATGCCTTAATTTCACCTCCGCCCCTCTCCGTCCTCAGGAGGAGCCACTACTACTTAAGATGCAGAGCCAGGTGTTGGTCGCACACACCTCTAATCCCAGCACTCAGGAGGCAGAGACAGGCAGATCTCTGTGAGTTCGAGGCCAGCCTGGTCTACAGAGTGAGTGCCAGGACAGGCTCAAAAACAATACAGAGAAACCCTGTCTCAAAAACCCAAAAAAACAAAACAAAAAACCCCCAAAACCAACAAACAACAACAAAAAAGGATGCAGAGTGGAGGGGCGTAGGCCCCCACCCTGTGCTTCCTTCCTCTCTGTCCTCAGCATTTTGCAGACCCTTTTCTGGCTTCATTCAGCACTGCAGATTTGTGCCCCGGATGTGGGCCTTAGATTTGTGACCAGATTTCTTGTTTCATACTCCCAGGAGCCCAGAAGGTTACAGAGTGACCTGCAGCTGGGTTGGGGGCACCGGGAGGACCTGCATACACAGGCAGGCTCTCCACTCTGTTTTATTGACCTTCCTGCCTTGTGCGGGCCAGCAGAGGGAGGGGAGAAGGTAGACTATGTGGGGGCTTCAAGTTCATGCAAGCAAGCCCCTTTGATGTTCAAGACCAGATTTTCTTCAGCCATCAGCCTGCTGCACGTGGAAGGGTTAAGACTCAATTCCCTTCTGGAGTGTTTTTGCTTTGAAGCCTGGGCATGGTGAAAGAGGTAGCTCTAGAATGGACAAGGCCAGAACCCTCTGCCCAGAAGCCCAGGGCAGGGCTCTCAGTAGGAGGGGTTTGGGGCTGTCCATCTTTTCCAGTAACCTGTGTCCAGAGGTTGCAGCCCACAGGCTTCCAGTGAGCGTGTTCTAGTCTGTAGGAAACCAAAGATGGGACATGGCACCTAGGGGCCAACTCCTTTTCTATTCTACATTCTCTCTCCATCCCCAGGGCCCAGCAATCTGTTTACATACTATCCTGGCGGGGGCCTAAGCAGGGTTGAGGGAGTTGGAGAGTTGTTAGTTTGCTGTCTGCGTACTGTCTAGATCATCCTTGCACTGAGCCCCGGGCTCCAGGCCTCACTTTCTCCACGGGCTGGTCTCATTCTCATGTAAACCCACTCCTGCTCTGTCCCCCTGGACATTTTTTTAGTTAAGTATTTTGTATCCTGTCACACTGTGTGTCCTTGTGTAAATAAACTTGTTTGTGGCAGTACCTTCTGGGAAGAATGTCTGTTCTCTGGGTTTCCAAATGGAGTAAAAGTTCTTATTCCTTTCCTAACAAATGCTGCCTTTTCTTCAGCCTTGGACTAGAATTCTGTCTGAGGCTAAGGGTGGGGTGGGGGGCCACGGTGGGAGGTCCCTGTTGTACCTGTGGGGTGTCCACTGAATTGCCACCATATCTCAAGAGATCTCTGCAGAGGGGTGAAGTCTCAGCTGAGTTTTCAGCCCCCTTTTACTTTTGTCTGTGTGTGAAGTGGAGGTTCCGTTGGTATACATGCAGGCAAGGTCACTTGAGATGTGAGCATAGGCAAGAAAGGAAATCAGAACTTTCAAGAGCTTTATTGAGACCTTCCTGAGCAGCTTGTGAATGTCAGGAACCCAGCACCCCATCCCCACCACACCTGGTGCTGCTTTTTTTTTTGTTTGTTTGTTTGTTTGTTTTGTTTTTTGTTTTGTGGGGACCCTGGGGAAAGGCTGGAAACAGCCTCCTTGGGAAACAAATCTGTCTTTAAAGGGGGCTAAAATTGCAGAACATGAAATGGGAACGAAGTTCAGTGTTAGCCCAGGGAAAAGACTGCCTCTTAGAGTGTGGTGGTCAAGGAGTGTTGTCTTTGGGCAAGAGAGCGGCAAAGGAGGCAGGAGACATCAAGAGGAGCGAATGGGCGGTGCTTCCTGGGCACTGAATGTGTGCACCAGCCAGGGCACAAGGGCCAAGACCAGGCAGGGCCAGAGGGTATATTTGAGGAAGTTGAAGATGTAGAAGAGGCTGAGCTGAGGTGGGTGGCCCAGCCATTCCAAGATAACCAGCAGCCCGATGGCCAACATAAAGCAAGCTATCTTCTGACCATTTCCTAGGTGTACCCGCCGCATCTGGGCATAACAGGGAGAGTGTAGAGCAATGCCAAGACCCAGGGCAGTTCCCGAGTCACGGCTCAGCGAGGCAAAGGGTCGACTGTCCAAATGTACCCACTCGGGCCGCTCACACCACTTGGAAGCCAGGTTGATGGACCTGTGGGGAAGCAGAGTCTTTGCCAGGGAAGACTGGAATCCAGAGAGCCACTGGCTCTTAGTTGTCTTCCCTTGGGGGCCTGCTCCCATGTATTGAGTCCACATCTGTCTAGGAACAGTTCATGTGTCCTTTTATAGCAACAGTGAACCAGAGACCCACCATCTAGATACAGGGCTCAGCTGCCTAGACTCCAAAGCAGGACTTACCAGGAAAGATCCAGGCCCAGTGTAAAGAGAGTCCAATACATGAGGCTGGCACCCAGCATGAGAGCCAGGGCAGTCAACCCATAGAAGCTAAGTTCCCGCTCCATGGGCACCCGTGGGGCCATCAGCCAGCCGAGGACAGCACCTAGAGGGATGCAAAACATTTACCAGATGATTGAGGAAATGATTTACCCCCTCATCTGCAACCTTTGTGTTGGCTCTACAGCAGCTGGGAATGCTGGGAAGTTCCTAGACTGGTCCTCCCACTTCCAAAGACACCCTCTTGGCCCACCCTGTTACCCCAGTTGCTCACCACTTATAAGGCCTGCCAACACCTGGTGAGGGAAATGTGCTAAGAGGAAGACCCGAGATAGGCCGACAGCCAATAAGAAGGTGCAATAAGCCAGGCTAGGAATCACCCTTACCCAGGGGCTAGAAAGAAGAGAGACAAATGGCTCAAGGGATGAACATGGCTTCGCTGTCTTCAGCATCCAAATACTTCAGTTTGCCCAGGACCCCCAGGTCACAACTCTAGTTCCCAAACTTATATGCTGTGGAGACTCTGGGGTCCAGAATGCTCCTACTGATGGACAAGAAATACCATGATCATACCTTCGAGACCGAGAGGCCACTTGGGAAGAAATGGCTGTCATTATAGGCCAGAGAGCTGCTCCTGTGATCATGCAATGGCCAGAAGGGCTGCCTGTCGAGAGATCCAGAAGTTCATGGTGAAAAAAATAAAACGCACGTGCCCCTGGTGATCCCTCAACACACCCGCCTCCCCTGGATGTGAAGGCAGCTTTCATTACCAGCTGATCACTTCCTCCAAGACCTTTTTCTCAAGGTCACGGTTCTCAGGCTTCTGCCTTGTCGCCATGTCCCATGGCTTTACTCTCTGTGGGGTAACTAGCCAGCAGAGGTTTTCCCCAAGGCTCGTTTTCTGGACTAGTAACTGAGAGGCTGGGCCTGTTTGGACCACCCTAGCTGAAGTATATGGGAACATTTATCCGAACTGGAACTTTTCCCACCTGGGCCGGTCTCGCAAGAAGAGGGGAACTGGTGCACCTGGATGGGAGTGTGGCTGGAGTACCCAGACTCATGAACCCACCAAAAGGGCCTGTCTCCAAACAGAAACCTAGAAGACACCAGATACAAGGCCATATGACATACACAGTGCTGGAGGGATCCAGGGAACAGCGGGAATCTGGAGGACCTGCTGGGTGCACTCAGAAGGGCACTCTGATTCCAGCTCTTTTATCTTACCATGATTTTCTAATCTGAAGCACAGAGAGGCACACAATCCCTGCTCCTCCACTCAGGTTCCTGGGTTCAGCCTGAGTTACCCACTCCTGAATTATATAGGTGAGTGCCTTGAGTGTCAAATTGGGAGGGAATGTACAGAGCAGTCTGAGAAAAACTAAGACATTCCCTGCCCCAGCCCCCCCCCCCAAAAAAAATCCAACTCTCCTTGGCCTAGCAGGAGGACCACCATTCTGGGTTAGATAGTGAAATCTTGTTTCAGTGAAGGAGGAGGAGGACTTGGAGGCTTTGTTACTCAGACAGACTCTGAAGGAGGGGAAGCACAAAGCACAGGATAGGGGCCGTTAGGCCAGAAGGAAATGATTAGACAGCTGCTTTTAGGTTTACAAGTAAGGATGAAGCACTTGTGGAAAAGGGTCGGCGGGGAGGGGGGGCTCCTAGTCTGCTTCTCAGTATGTCCTTCTAGCCCAGTAGGCATCTCTTTATGAACCTCCATCCTACTTTAAGGCTGGGGACTGGGCCACAGCAGCTGAGGTGGAGCTGCACGTCCAGAAACTCTTTTCCACACTCCAGAGACAGACAAACAAACAAGGTGGCACAGGCAGACCCCAAGGGCTGCAGGAGGCCCAGTGATATGGGACCATGGCTTCTTAGAATAAGCTATGCAAACAACTGTGGGGGAAAAGAGAGGCATTCCCTGCAGGCAGGACAAGTCACTAGAGCTCGGTGCCTTCTAAACTCCACTGGGCACTCTGCAACCAAGGGGGCTTGTTAAAATGCAGATCTGGCCTGGAGCCTGAGATTCTGTATTTCTAGTAAGTCTCCTAGCATTGCCTATACTTTTGAGCTTGAACCAGGGACCACATCTTAATTTACAAAGCAACTGGTGCCTAGCACAGTGTCAAGCAAATAAACTGAAGCGTGAGACCGTTAGCTAGAAAGACTTCCGGCTACCTAAGTTTGTAGCAATAATTGTTAAAATGTAGATTTTTCAACTACAATGTAATTCGTAGTTTCAAAATCTAGGTCTCCGACGGAGGCTGTATTTGCAGTTGAACACGCCCCTTAAGTCATTTCTCTGACCCGGACAGTTCGAGGATGGATGAGGTCTGCGGCCAAGATGTAAAGAAACTCAAGGTGAAAACTAGGGCCTAAGGGCCTTTGAGGTACCTACTCGAGGGAGATCAGGGCCTCAAAGGGGTAGGGGGATCAGGATGCCCGAAGGCATCTCGTCTCACCACTTGAAGACGAGGTTGAGCCACTCAGTAATGAAGGTGATCCAGAGCACGCAGATGCCCAGTCGTCGAGAGGAGTAGTAGGCCGCGGGGAAGAAGATGATAAAGAGGTTCTTGGGATCGCCTAGAAAGGTGACCCAGAGCCACATATTCTCTAGCCCGGGGAGCCGGTTCTGCAGCACTTCAGCCATCGCGATGCCCGCGCTCAGCGTGGACTCCATGCTGAATCAGGGGTCCTCCAGGCTGGAGTCGGTTGTAAGGAGTAAGCGCCGGAACCCTGGCAAAAGCCAAGCGGCTACCTGCTTGCCCTCTAGAGCCCACCCTTCCTGGCCCCGGGCCCCGCCCTACCCGCTAGGGGTCTAAACCAAGCTCCGCCCCGCCCTGCCCCGCCCCGCCCCTCTCCCTTAGCCCCTGGCACGCGCCAGTTGGGCTTCTGGCGGGTACGGTTTCCTAAGGCGCTCTTCATCGGCCTTCCTCTCTACTGGACAGCGGAGGGGACAAACCTTTGCGAAGGCGTTTCCTCGGGGCCCCACGTGGCCGCTGTTGCCAGCACGTGGGCTGCCGGCGTACAGAAGAAACCCGCTGCTGTTCCGGGTCAGGGAACAGATGACACTGGGGACCGGCGGTGTGTCCCGGTTCCTTGTTCTGCGGCTGAGAAGGCAGATGTCTAGTCTCCAGGGCCAGGGTACCTTCTGAATCTGTCCTCTCTTCTCCAACATCGCTGCCCACTTCTCTCGATTCTAGATTATTTGGAGAGAAGGGAGTCAAATTGGAGTTGTGTCTAGCTCAGGATTCTCCCATCCTACTTAATCTTCATCTTGATTTTGAGACGTCTGCCCTCGAGAACCCAATGCTTAATATGTGCGAGAAACTCGCCTTGCCCTCTACCACCCTCATCCTCTCCTATCATTCAAAAACCCTCCCTGGGCAGATAAATATAATAGTAATAATATTGCGTAAGAAGAGGAAGGGCATATGCCTACAGTTTTTGAAATAATTCTGCTTAGAGGTAGAGGAATGAACCCTCTCCATTGCCCCGCCACCACCACCACTCCCACAACTCCCTTGTAGACTAGACTAGGCTGGCTTCGAACTCACAAAGACCCTCTTTACTCCGCCTCCCAAGTGCTGGGACTTAGGGTGTCTGCCACCATGCTCTGTGCTCAATTTTTTTAGTGACTCAAGCAATTTTGTTCTTAAAATTTTTTGAAGAGTGGATGAAAATGAAGATATAAAATTAAAACGGTGTTATGGAGGGAAGCAGGATGTAAATCTCAGTTCATGCCCTTCAAACTTTTTCAGCCAGGTAGTGGTGTGCGCACCTTTAATCCCAGCACTTGGGAGGCAGAAGCAGGCGGATCTCTGTTAGTTGGAGGCCAGCCTGGTCTACAGTGCAAGCTCCGATACAGCTAGGGCTGTGACACCAAGAAACCTTGTCTTGGAAAAAAAAAAAAAAAAGTGTTTTTCAGTTGCTTCAAAAAGCTAAAATTTCATATGGAGTTTGTTTTTGTTTTTGAGACAGAGCCCTGGCTGTCTGGAACTCACTATGTAGACCAGGCTGGGTTTGAGTTCATAGAGATCCACCTGCCTCTGCTGGGGTTAAGCTTCAATTTATTGATTTTTGAGATAAATCTGACCCAACTCCTTAGGAGTGCTCCGATTATAGGCTTGGGCCACCACTACCCACTTCTTAAGGAGTCTTTGAAATTCTGCTCTGGCTCCAACCACTACCTTCTCAACTTCACCATCAACATCAGCACCCAGATTTACAGCTGTTTATTTTGAGTTGCTAGGGATCCAACCCAAGGCCTGGCATATAAGACTCAAGTCTTCAAGAACTAAACTATACCCTCAAGCCATGCTTCACAATGTTTAAACTTTTTTAAATTATTTTTTCATTATTATTGTTTGTATATGTGTGGAGGACAAAGAGTTGGTTCTTTTCTTTCACTTAAACCTTCCCACTCACCATGAGGGTGCTGGAAATTGAACTTGGGTGTCTGGAAGATTTAAATTGTGGGGGCTGGAAAGATGGCTCAGCTGTTAAGAGCGCTTGCTGCTCTTGCTGAGGATCCAGGTTCATTTCCCAGCACTGACATGTGGTTCACAACTATCTGTGACTCCACAGGGGATCTGATGCCATCATTTGGTCTCCATAGGGCACACAAACATATATGCAGGCAAAATACTTATAAAAATAAAATAAATAGTGCAAGCTGGTGGCCCATGCCTTTAATCCCAGGCAGAGGCAGGCAAATCTCTGAGAGTTTCGAGGCCATCCTGGTCTATAAAGCTAGTTCCAGGACACCCAAGGCTTGGTTACACAGAGAAAACCTGTCTCCAAAATCCAAAATAAATAAGATAAAATAAATAAACTCAATAAACATTTTAAAAATTATTTAAATTGTGTGCAGTTCTGAGTAGTGTCATGGAATCTAGATCTATCTTTCTCCATCCAGCCCAGGTTGGGGACCTTTCCTTTGTCTTAAATCCATGCTGTATATGCTATTTAATCCATTAGTCAATTAGACATCTTGATAATGAGATCAACTCTTTTGGTATTGTAGTATTTGTGAAACTTTTTATTTAATGATGACCCAATGAATGATGTGTTGATTCAGAAATTTCATAGAGAAGCTTCCTTTAAAGGAATGGTGAAAGTCTTGAAAGATACTTTCAAACAGAAAGAGACCATACTCATAAAACTTTTATTATGATATACTGTTAACATTATTCTTTTTTTTCCCCCCGAAACAGGGTTTCTCTGTTGCTTTGGAGGCTGTCCTGGAACTAGCTCTTGTAGACCAGGCTGGTCTTGAACTCATAGAGAGCCGCCTGCCTCTGCCTCCTGGGTGCTGGGATTAAAGGTGTTTACCACCAACACCCAGCTACATTATTCTATTTTAATTAGTTGTTAAACTCTTACTGGGGCCTAACAGATGTCTATGAATAGAAAGCAACATTCTATGTAGCTATTCCTACTTTCAGAGTTTGAAGCAGACACTAGAGGAAAGGAGACTAATTACAATGTCATACAAAGTGGCATCAGGGCTGAGGATGTAGCTTAGTGGTGGTACAAGGCCCTGGGTTTAACCCCAGCTCTCCCTCCTTCTCCCCTGAAGAAGTGGAGTTACAGATGACTTGTTATAGGGCCAGACCAGAAAGACAAGACTCCTCTGAGAAAGACATAAGCATGGGGGAGAATTTTTATTCCTGTTATAATGATTGTACCAATGCCTCCAACACAAGGAAGTTTTTGCCTGTTGGAGCACAAGGAAACACTTTTGAACTTTGTTCAGGCTCACTAGTAGTGCCAAAGCTGGCCCTTGGCCTCTCTCTAAAGTAGAGAAAGGGCAACCTGTCCCTCATATTTTTATATTATGCATTGGGTAGTTAAAGGATGGCAGTTGGTGGTGAGAGTTTTAAAAGTGCATGTGCAGCTGGGAGGTGGTGGCACAAGCCCTTAATCCCAGCACTTGAGAGGCAGATGAAGGCTGATCTCTCTGAGTTCAAGGCTAGCCTGGTCTACAAAGTGAGTTCCAGGCTCCAAAGCAATACAGAGAAACCCTGTCTCAAGAAACAAACAAAAACAAACAAACAAACAATAATAATAATAATAAAGTGCAAGTGTGTGGCCTGGTCTACAGAGTGAGTTCTGGGTCAGCCAGAGCTGCTACACAAGAAACCTTGTGTTGAAAAAAACAAAACAACAAAACAAAAAACACAAAGAAAACAAAAAGTACATCCAAGCAGTTCCTTCCATAAGGTTAGTGAAGCTTTGTATATGAGATGTCTGTTATTGAGGAGAGGCAGGTCCCTTCAAAGCCCTTTGTCATTATAACTGTTCCTTCTTCTCAACGAACTTTTCCTCTGTCCTTTTTATTTTTCCTGGAGACTTAAACCTAAGGCCTCAAGAATGGGTCTATGCTTTATGTATGAGCTACATTCCAGAACTGTTTCTTCTTTTTACTTGGCTTCCTGGGAGAGAAGGCCAAGCAGACAGAAGTGCTCTGTGTTCCAAAGGTGACAGGTGATTATGGGGTATATGCCATGTATATATGCATTATCTCACTTAAGCCTTCTAGCAGCCTTGTGAGGCAGGAGTTGCTTTTATTATAGGCCAGTAGTCAAGAGATCTTTGTTGGACTCAAAACCATGCTTTGCCAGCTGTATGACTGTTACAAGTTTAAGACTTCACCTGTAAAATGAGGGTATTGATTCCTGCCTTGCAGGGCTGCTGGGGGATCAGTGTTTTCAGATCTTATTGAAGAAACATAATCAGGTTTGATAGTTTGTTTAAGGTATTTGGTAAATGGCCTCAGATTCTAGTTTGCCTAACTTTAAAGCTAATGGTTTTTTTTATAACTACTTTGTAGTTAGTTATAATACTTTTGAATGAGTCTTGTTAAGTTCTCTGAGCTTCAAGTTCTTCATAACCAAGTGAGGGCAATATTTTATAGAGTTCATTCATTAAAGGTTTTTATGCAAGGCGTGGGCTAAGCAGATTCCAGTTGCCTCCCTTTTCTCCTCTTCGTTCACGTAGGTTATTTATTCTTTACGTCTATTTATCTTCCTAACTTTCAAAAGAACCCTGCAAGCACTTAGCCAAGCAGACGGGCGAGCACAGGAACATTTTCCACGGCACTCACATTCCCTTTTATTTCCTGTTCCCTCTTCCACCTAGGCTCCCGCCCCACCCAGGACCAGACCACGCCCCGGCGCATGACGTCAGCACGCCCCGTGCGTCGCGGCGCGGCGCTTGCTGGGGGCCCGGCTTTCGCCCGCTGCTGCCGCCGCCGCCGCCGGCCGCGGCTGCTCTCCCAAGATGGCGGCTCCTCCGGGCGAGTATTTCAGCGTTGGGAGCCAGGTGTCGTGCCGGACGTGCCAGGAGCAGCGGCTGCAGGGCGAGGTGGTGGCCTTCGACTACCAGTCCAAAATGCTGGCTCTAAGTATCCTTCTTTGCGTGGACCCCAAGGCCGGGCCGGCGTGTAGGTGCGGTGGTGGGGGGCGGGGGACGGCGGCGGCAGCTAGGGCCCTCTCCCGGCCTAGGGGCGACCGGCTACCGCGTCGCCCCGGGCGCATGCGCACGGCCCTGAGCTCCCCTCCCCCTCCCGCGGGCCTTTCGGTCCACTTGGGGGACCCTTGTCTCCCACCCCTTGTGAGAGCTGGGCCTCAGCCGAGGGTTGGTGGGTGGAGCGGGGCTTGACACGCGGGTGGCTTTTCGGGAGGGGGAACGGTGTGTTA